ATGTTGGTCGGTCCGCGTTTGCTAAATACATATGGACGCCGGAAATGAGGGCAACCGTTTGTGAATACACCCAGGCCGGGGTGTGTCGTTATACCCTCCTGAAGAATGAGCCGCCCCAGAAAGAGATTTATTCATGGAATGATATTTTATGTTCAAAGCGCGATCCGGCCCGATTTGCAACTAGATCTCTCCTTCATTGCCAACGATGAAAATAACTGCGTTAGCTCGAAACGTGCCCTCGATTTGTATGCTAATAAACATCGTATACATAAATATACAGCCGCAATACTGGCCGTCGCGGCCTGTCGTATCCTCCGTCGCTCGATTGACCACTGCGAATCGGTTATTTAGATCTGGCCGTATATTCTTCCCAAGTGCGCGTCTCAGTTCTTGCATTCGTACGTTTGCCATTGTATACGTATGCAGTTTCACTGGTTATTCGACATTTTGTTTTTTAAAACAGTGTGCTATATATAAATAAATAAATTATATATATATATATATATGATTTATATAAATTTATATATGAGTTTTATATATATATAAAGTTTTATATTATATTATATTATATTGTATTATATTATATTACATTATATTACATTATACATTTATATATTTATAGTAGAGTTTTATATATATTTATACATTATATATGTAAAAATATATATAAATAAATATGAATTTCGTAATTTTATATGATGACGTTGTCGTTATTGTGTTATAATTGAAGGTAATATTGGAAAAGGATTGTAATAATTAGACAAAGATTCTAGATACAGTTGATGTGAATATACTTAGACAGTGTCTAAATTAATTTAATAAATATAAATTTCATAATTTTATTCAGTGACGTTTTTGTACTTTATAGTTAAAGATGACATTTAGGTAATTAAACAAAGGTTCAAAATATTTTTAGATACGATCGATATGAATATTCTTAGATGGTGTCAATCAAGGATTAAATTTTCTATTTCGACTGTTCAAAATTCAAGTGAAGCTTTCTTAGTTCTCAGTTCCCCAAAGTTAAAAATATTGTTTTGAATTTTGTGTGTCACGTAAGAATCAAGAACGACAGACAGACTACATTTCTAGACAGTATCTCCAACTTTCGTTGCATTCATCAAGCCCGAAATATTCCTCGAACGTCGAATCCTATCCCGAAGTTTGTTTTCTCGCGGATTCTGAAGTTATTGAATGAATTTGTCTTTAAAAGAGCGGCAGCGAGCTGAAGATCAATGTAAACGCAAAGTGCAGCTGAAGATCACGTACAATTTGAACGGAAATCCAAAGAATTCTTCAAACGGAGCTTGAAAATTGGATAAACAATTGTCTTCCAAGAGAGTCAGAATTTGTATAGTAAAACGGGTAATAATAATTCCCGAAGAAATAGTATACATTTATAATTCAGAACACTAGCCAATATTTTTTAATCCAAGCGAATCTCGTCTGCGAATTTCGAACTCTTCTTAAATTCGTTGGCTACCGAATATTATCAAAATTTGTACTACATTTCATATTTTAGAAAATTCGCCTTCGAACAATAAGATTACACTTTCCGATCGTGCGTCAGAATTATATTTATAACACGAAGGCTGGCCGCTCCACCCAATGCTAAATTCCATTACATAAAATCGCCATTTATTACCATGAAGCTTCGACGTCTGATCGAAATAGCGATTCATCACCTCGAACCACTCAGCGGCAAGACGTTGGATCACGATCGTCCATCGGCGTCCCATAAAAATCGCGGTGAAATCTGCGTACGGAACATGCGGCTGACACGTCCGAGTTCTTTGGTTGATCCGGGGCCAAAAGGACGACAGGTTACGCCCCCGATCGCGCCCCGAGATCCTTGACACCTGGAACGAGGCCAATCTCACGAGGACTGCCAGCACCTACGCCAGAACTTACGCCGTCGGCAGACTTTCAAAATTATTACTCGGCCGCGTCAGCAGCTACACCATGTTTGTTTTCGTCCCGATGCTGGTGCTATGTCTCACCTATTTTTCGTCGTCGTCGTCGTCTCTCTCTCTCTCTCTCTTTCTCTCTCTCTTTCATCCTTCGATCTTCATCTCTTCGTTCAGCCGCTCCTCTTCTCGACTTTTACGCTTTCTCGTCTTTTCTTCAAGTTTCTTCATAACTTGAAGAAACAATACCGAGGCAGCTTCGATATTTGAAGAGAGCAGGGATCACGGGGGCAAATATTGAACGAAGGATAGATTTAGAAGATGTTAGAATAGGGAAGTATCGGAGTTTTGAAATCAACCGAGAAGTTGCTGGACGCTAGAGCTTACCGACGATTAAAGTATAAAATTTTCATCAGACACGTAAAAATAAAAGAAGTAGAATACAATGAATTACGCAAGTTTTTTACTTATATACTTATTTTTACTTATATACTTATATACTTATATAATTTATTTATATATTTACTTATAAAATTTACTTATATATTTACTTATGTATTTACTTATATAATTTACTTATATATTTTATGAAAAGTCATTTCAATCTCTAAAAGTACACTGGATCGCATCTATGAAATATCTGGAAAAAGGCAAATTACGAATTAGTCATTCCAACTACTTTGGTAGCCTTAGTGTCAAGACAAGCGAAACAAACACACGTTCAACAAGACGATCGTAACGCTGCATTTTAAAACTTTGCAAACCGTCGAATGTTAATCCTTTTTCTGGAAAATTTTCTTGCCAGTTTTATCATAAATAAATAAACTCACGTAAATCAGTTACTTCTTCTACAAACTTCGTTTGTTAGCAGTCGCTCCATCGTATCCATTGAAATAAAATCGGAAGCTTCAGTTTCACAATCTCGCGCTGAATTTTGAACTCGCGAAGACGAGTACAGCTCTTTCAATCGGTGTTCGCGCAATATCGACGAGCGTGTATATACGGGGAAATACAGTATTCGACGATCGACAGCCGTGGAGCAGAACGTAACCACGATCTATGGGGAATGGTTGGGAGATTTCTTAGGGTAGTTTCATTAAAAGCGGAGCACCGCGCGCGAAACGGCAAGAAAAGCAAGTAGAGCAAGAAAGAAGTCGTGTACCGAGTCGCGACGAGTGCAGAGCGAATAGATGTACGGAGTGGTTTTCTGCAATCCGATTATCTTTGTCGACTTAAGCGGATTGCCGTGAAAACTTCGCCGTGGCTGCGCTTCGAATCCGCTGCAGTTATAAACGGGAAGACGGCCGGATGTGTTTTGCGATTTCTCGACCGGTCAGCTGATAAAGCCGGGCTGTTGACGTGAACGACCAGGCGAATCGCCCGCCCGTGGACACGGTCTTGTTATTTAAGCTACAGCGTATTTCGTCTCGCTGATATTTACTTCGGCTTGCGCAAAATGCATGGAAGAATAATAGCGGTGGTTATTAAGGAATTATCTGCTTAACTCGATTTATCGTGTTTACTCGACATTAGAACCACGAGAATGGTCAAAATGGCCAATTCGTGAATTTTCACAACGACGTGTTTGTGGAGAGTTTTTGTCAAATATCTAGGTAGAAGCGTATGCTCCTCTTTTTTTTTTTTTTTTTTTTCTTTCAACAAAAACTTTTTGAAAAACGAGTATTTGTACTTTACTAATTCGGTGTTCAGCATTGAAGCATCCAGTGAATTTTGGATGAACTCGTGTGTTTCTCGACGGGTGAGATTATTAAGTTCATTTATATCTGATAAGTTCGTAATTAAAACGATACGGAGTCGCTTGTTAATTTTTTGAATATGAAATTGATGAGTGACCGAAACTTTTGGGCGGTAGCGCAGAGTGGCCTGAAAAATTATTTGAGGAAAGTTCGTAATACGTGATGCTCGTGAAAAACGGATAATTAATAAGTAAACTTTTACTGTGTAATAATTAATTTTAATATTGATAATCAGGCGTGGACGTTAGTTCATCGTTGGATTATGTATTGTAGAAAATTTACCAATTTTTTAACCTATATTTTACACTAATCGGGGATATTTAAAAATCATATTTTGTTCATTAAAATTTAGAAAGCTTTCTCGTTTCAAGCTAACATTGAATAAACAGACATATTGCAACAGTTTTTAAAAGAAAGAGAGAGATAGGAAGAGATTAAATTAAAATTATTTCCTATTTTAAGTTTTAATTTAAATTTTCAAATTTTAATTACGAACGTGTTTTATCCACTGTCTCTTTTCTGTTTTTAATTTCATTGTCGCGAAATTAACAAGCAAATCCTTCTCTTCTTTCGATCGTACAAAAAAAAAAAAAAAAAAAAAAAACAAAAAGAAAACGTTGAAATTGAATTTTATTGTCAAGAGATTTAAACGAGACTGGTCGCGAATCGTTAATCGACTGTGAAAACGTAAAAAACGTTTAAAGACGTAGCTGCAATTATCTAATTACAATCACGGTTCACTTAGATACTCATCAGAAAGACTACAATTATGGCAGGTTGCAATTATCGATCAATTAAATCAAACCGAAATTAACCGTTTGCCGCGATCATTCACTGCGAGCGCTAAAGGAATTAGAAACGATTCTATTCCTGGAAAATTCTATTAAATCTTGCCCAATTCCACCTGTCTTTAGATATTTTCTTGCGTTCTCATTTTCAATTTTGGAATTCTTCGTCCGATTGAATTTCACTCTGAATTTCTATCACGAAGAATGTGTAGCAAAGTAGAAATTAACGTAGCTTGTCCAAAATTTTGGTGATTATTACAAAATCTATTATCTAGAACCCAAGATATTATTTAATATTGGAGGATTAATATGAAACTCGACAATTACTACGTTTTTAAGCTCTGGAATGCAAAATCGCCTGAGGATGATGGATTAAAACTATATATTTCATAAAATTAGCAAACACACGCATCATTGGCAAACAAATATATTGTTGAAATATTATACATTACTGTTGCGTGATACGTGAATTATTGAGCAACGAGATTTGTTGTTTGAAAATGATCATTGAAGCACGTTTTAATATAGCCTGGTTTCTGTATTTTCAGGTTAAACTACTTGATGTCGGGATTAACGCCGAGCTGGTATCACGCGACGAATATTGCTCTGCACGCCATTGCATGCGTTTTGGTCACAAGGGTGAGCCTAGTGGTGGCATCGCTGCGTCCAGGATTTGCTGCCTTGACAGGCTTGCTGTTTGCTGCTCATCCTGTACATACTGAAGCGGTAAGTAACAACCCAGCTTGAAATAGACACGATGAAAGCCTCCAATCGCGTTCTTGAGCCTTAAAAAGCGAAATCGCAGAAAGACCGTAGGTCCATCCAGCGTCTTTTTGGAGATGACGGATTGAAGTAATGATTAGTTTACAAAAATATAACGCATAAACGAAAATTTATACATGTCTCATATATATATATATATATATATGTAATATACTACAAAGTTAATATATAATATATAATATATAAATAAAATATCGGTTAACGTAGAAGGAATCCAATGAATCTGAGCCACAATCAATTTGAATGCATATTAATTACCAAAACTAACTTCACACTTATTGAATTAAAAATTCCAGGGAATATCGTCAGTCTAAAGGAGATTCTTGTTGAGAAGCTAACGTGAAAGATTAGTAAAAGTACTAATTTAAAAACTAATAATTTAACGTTAGTAATTTAAAAATTACTAACTGAAAAATTACTAATTTACTAGTTAAAATAAAAAATCAGATATATTAAGGAAAGAAAATTTCAGCGTAACAACAAATTGAAGAACACAGTGGAAAGTAATTTTAATCGTATCGCAACGTAACGCATTCTACGAAGTCTCGGCTGAATTTCATGCATCGTAGGAGATTCCGGTGTCCTAATTACGGTACTGTTCACAGTTTAATTATCATGAAGTTCGTAGGGTGCAATAATTCGAGGGGATTAACGCAGAAATTAATCCAAAATCTTCGTCAGTTTCGAATTTATCTTAAGCCGATCGGGGGGAGAGGGTGGAGGAGGGAAGGGAGGATACGATTGGCAGGTAGTCTCTTGTACTTCACGTCGTATCATGTGCATGATGCGCAACAACAATAAACTTCAACGTCGGTGATAATGTTTGCGCACATAGCCTGCTTCAGTTGGGCGAGCGGTGGTGGTACCATACTCATTATTATCGTCGGTTATCTGTTATTTCAGAGCGTGTATATTTAAGAACAATACAGGGAGAAAGAGAGGAAGATTAATCATGTTCAACAAGATTGCAAGCGCAATTGGCTGGGACTCTTATTATTCTTTTATCGTAGAAAGTATCTCAAATTTGTGGAGGAAAATATTATTCTCACCGGTATGCGTGATTTCTCGTTTTTGAAAATTTTTATGCTGAATGTCTTCTTGAAACATTTTTTCCCTTGCTGATATTAGAGTGGAATTGAGATATGATATTTCGAGGGTCTCGGTATGGTTCTAAATCTTTTCAACAAATTGTTTCAACGGCACGATCTACAAATGAAGGCAGAGAAAGAGCTTCATTACGAAATTATAATGCCAGAATGAAATACGACTCTAATAATGGATTTCTGTATTTTTAAACGAGAGTTGAAACATCTCGTGCGATATCGTTGCATTATAAATTGCCCGTCAATGTTCCGTTCGATATTAATTGTCCATCACGCTGAATTACTTCGCGAACTGCTACATCACGCAGACGTTACGTTCTTCTATTTTCCGTTGATGTTTGTTCGTAGCTTGGTGTAATAAAATGTCTTAGAAATAATTGGAAGCACCCTGCGTAATTAAATTTTCTTCCAATCCAGCTCCTAGTTATTGATCGTTCGAAAGCAAAACGACCACCAGTCACGACTCGGTTTCCCATTCGTCGTCATCAAGATCCGCGCGAGGCGATAATTTCAATCGCAGCGTTGCGAATTTGCATTTGCACAAACGTCGAAACTCCCGGCCAGAGCAGCGCCGCGCAGGAAGTCAAGCTCGGATGAAACTCACGCAGAGATTGCACGATACCAGTCGTTCGTTTCCCTTCGCCAAAGATCATTAACGTAAAGACGCAGCGCATGTTGTTCGTGCAAAAATTATCCCGCCTCTGCGACACGTTGATTCTCATGGATGGATTGTCCGTTACATGCTCGAGTCCGTTTGCCGGTCACGCGCCACACTGCGCACCGGTGTCGTATCACGCGGGTGCATACACTGTCGCATGCGTGCGACGCGTCGCGTGCCAACCATCCCCTTGTCGGCCGAGTTGTTATTGCGATGTTACGTCGACGGATAAAGAAATCGGATATATACGCGTAAACTCGCGCTCGCGAGTTGAATTCCACCGGCGCGCTGTCGCCGATTCGCTTTCAGATAAGGTTAATCGCTACCGTTTTAAATTCGCTGGCGACATCGCCGACGCTGTTTTATGCCTCACGTGATTTCTAATGGGAAGGGAGAAAGACACGGGAGGCAGTTGATAAAAAAAAAAAAAAAGATACTTTGTCGAGAATTGAAAAGGACTAAGACGAGTTCGTACGCGTGGATTTTAGCAACATACTGGCATACGAGTTTTAGACTGAAGAGTATTTGGACACTTGTCGTAGAAAAATTCGATGTACGTAGAACTTCGCTGCGAGCGTGTATTTTGTAGAAAGAAAATAATACGAATAGGATTTAAAATAAATATAAATGAAGTTTATTAATGTAGGAATTAACAGATAGTGAAAAGTCTCAATACGATGATGACAAAAGATATTAATCTCTCGGTAGACTCTCACGCTGTCGGTATGTAATATTTCCTCACGATCTATACTCTCTCACGACTATTCTATATGTGTAATTTCCTCGCTATTCGCGATTCTCTCTATATCTGTACTCTCTGTACTTTCGGATACTCTCTTGTGCTCTTCATTCTACCATGACTCGATTCTCCCTCGCTGATTCCTTCATGATATGCATCCTCGAAACCTTCGCAATACTCACGCACGCAGTTTCTACTCTATCATTTTAAGTCTTAAAAACGCAGGACCATCGTAATGAGAAAGTTTGAAAGGATAAAAACGATACAAGGCAAATATCGAAACACATAAAATCTACAGTGAAAGAATTTTCAAGGACGCGAATAATTATTGTTACGGGAAGCTCGACGGTAAACGTTGGTTGCTGCCCGCTTCGCTCGTCGCTCTCTCGTCGTGCCTTTTACAGTCTCCGGAGAGATGTTTTATGGAATGAATGAGACGTTATGTGGAATAAATACTTTTATTTCTCAACTAATACAAAGTGACTGATGAAGTGAGTGAGTGAATGAGTGACCGACGCGGAATCACTCCTCTGACTGATTTGGTGTAAATGAAAATGAATGTATAACTGACGC